AAATTCTTTTGGAGGTATGTGGAACCAAGATTATGATGGCTGTGACATTCTGTAGACCTAAACTCATATCCTAGATTCTTTTTATTTCACTAGTAAAGGCAAGAGAGAGCCAGCACAGAGAATCACTTAGAGAATCACTTACAGGTCAAGCATGGATATGGTGACCACAGACTATTAGTCAAAATTCAATCACAGCCTCCCACCTATCAGTAAGAGAGGCTCAGCCTAAATCACCAAACTGGCAGAACTCCAAGGTCTAATAAATTGTCACTACCCTTCACCTATGCAATATGGGGTTAAGTTCACTGACTTAGCTATTATTATTATGAAGAATAATAAAACACTTTAAGAAAAAAAAAATTCCAAAGACACTTAGCGAAAAATTACTCCAAACTATGTAAACAACGGAAAGAAGGGCCCTCTCTGCTGGTGGTGTAGTGGGTTAAAACACAGCACAGGCCTTCCCTGATGGCGCAGCGGGTTAAAGCACAGCACTAAGAAGCTTAAGCCACTTCCGCATGAGTTTGATCCCTGCTTGCCTCGGAGGAGATCCACATGGCGTAGCAGACCTCTCCTGACCCGCCCGCTGCTCCCCTCAGCAGTGTACTTCGTCGATCTGCCTGTTCTGCTCCCACTCTGTCTCTGGTGAATCCTCTCACCCTCAGCATCTCTGGCTTGTACCCCAGTTCTGTATGAATAAATAAATCTTTAAAAAAAAAAAAAACCAGCACAAAGAAGTTAAAGCCACTTCATGAGTTTAATCCCTGCCCCAGAGGTGACCCATATGGCACAGCAGATCTCTCCTGACCTGCCCGCTGCTTCCCTCAGCAGTGTAGTGTTGATCTGCCTGTTCTGCTCCCCACTCTGTCTCTGGTGAGTTCTTTCACTGCCCCTATACCTCTGGCCTGTACCCCAGTTCTGTATACATAAATAAATAAATCTTTCAAAAAAAAAAAAAAAGAATGGAAAGAACTTTTAAATGAATACTTTATTTTCAAAGAGATGAAAGAGTAATCAATGAACAAATAAAATTAGAAAATCATGAATAAAATTTAACCTTGTAGTTAATAAATAAAAAAATAAAAATAACCAATTAGACAGAAATTATATTTAAATAAAATATTAAAACAGAAATTATATTTTAAATAAAATAAAACTCAGAAAATGTGGCTCAAGAGTTGATTAAATATAGATGAAAAGTGAATTTATGAATTTGAAGATAAATTGAGAAAATTCCTAGGCAGAAAATAAGAGACACTGAGGGATACATACTTTCAAGAGGAAAAATAGAAAGAACATTTGGTGGCAACATCTGAAGAGACAATAACTAACAGTTTCACAGAAAAAAAAATCTATCTGAAAAGTTTATCAAATACTGCTAAAAATTAATTTAAAGACCTCTACTAAACTCATGATGAAATTCATATAAATAATAAAGTTTCCACAGAGAAAAGCACAGAATACCATAAGGTATAATAAAAATGTTGCCATTACATTTGTCATTGGAAACATTAATTCTAGGGGGTAAAGGAAGAGAACAGAAAAATACCCTCAAAGTACTGAGGAAAAACAACAACACAAATCTTTGCACTAGAAATTGTTGACAAGTTAACTATCACTCAAAAGTAAGGACACAATAAAGACATTTCAGACATATAAGAATACCAAAAAAAAAAAAAAAAGTAATACCCATAGACCTTTACTTTAAGATGTCTGGAGAAGTGGACTTGTGATTATAGTTATTGAAGCAAACTTGGTATCAGAATCACACTCTTTTAAATAGTGTCAAATCAGAGTCAGGAAATTAATTTTTCAGAACAATAGAAAATTAGAGGTAGAGACATTATCAGGGATATCTAGAAAGTGTCTCTTTTCCCCAATACCCCACCCACATGAAAATAAAGTCCTACTGGAACTAGTGGTTTAAAAAGAACTTGACTTAATTCTAGTAGAGTGCTGCCTAAGAAGAATGTCACAACTGCATACCCCATATTAGAATGAAAAGGCCTAATGAAAGCAGAGACTGACTCTCCTTATAGCCAGGGTCCATATTTATTCTTCTACTTAACTATGGGGGGAAAAAAGCCAAAACAGAAAAAAGAAGTAACTATTTTCAGACATTGAGCATATATCAGACACTGAACACAGAAGTATAAGACTGTGGTTTCTGAGAATAAGAAAACAAATTGAGCATGACAATTGACCAGCTTATTACCTATAGACAGTTTCCAGTCTACAGCAAAGGTGAATTGAGGAAACAGTAATCAGAATTTGGAGAGGCAGACAATTAGAATTTGTGGGATAGAGTAACAGAGACAGAAGAGTTCTACAGAGAAAGAATACATAGTTCAATGGAAAGGTTTATAATCAAACACATTTCAAAATCTAGCCGTAGGTATAATAATGGAAGTACATACTAGGTGAAGGAGAAACTTAACAGATGATTTAAGCTCTTTATGAGAAAGTATAAAGAAATACTCCCCAGAGATTTGTGGGCTAGGCTTTGAAGGAAAAATAAGAATTTTCCAAGAAGACGAGAGAGGAGCATACACAAGAGAACAGACAAAGAAAAACAGTATGTAGCAAAGTTTTGAAAGAAGTTTGAAAAGTAATTTCAGGAGAATTAAACACCATTTGGTTTGTGATAGAAAATAAGTTTGGAGAGTTCGGTGAAAGTAAGATCATGGGATCTTTAATTACCAGTCTAAGGATACCTTTAGATACCAGACAACAAATACCATGCATTTCCCCATTTCTGCATTAGGAAAAGTTTGTTATCAGACATTGAACAAACATCTGTCAAGCACTATAGTATCTTGGGCATTTTTCTGATCACTACATCACTTACTATTGAGTTGTGCCTTTAAAATCAATCATAGAGGACATTTTTGTTGATAAAGAAGATAGCCTAGATTTCATTATAGTTTCTATCTTTCCAATTGATTTTTAGTATAAACCTGCAAAACAACATTTCTAACTCTGCTACCAATGCCAAGACTAACACTTTAAGTACTTCTGCCAGGCAGCTGGTTTGCAAGAATCTACTTTCTAAAGTGTAATTAGTCTTCTATAAAGGACAAATTATTTCCTTATTCCCTTTCTAAATTTCATAGCCTTCATGTTTTTGTTACATATGAATACCTACCTAAAGTAAACCCAAAGAAATGCCCAACTATTTAGCCTACAAACTCTATTGCTTAAAATGAATAGAAGAAAATAAGAAGTTTCCAAAATGAAGGTAATAGACACCAGGAAGGAGAAAGGTGGCTAGAAAAGAGAAATAATGCAGGAAAGAACTATATTCCAAACAACAGGTAAGTCAGTAATACTAAAATACAAGTAGAATTCTGGATATTGAAACAAATTAGAGAGAGAACTTAAATGCAAATCAAATGACCAGCAATTAATGTTATATTATGAGCTCAGAGGAACAAGTAAAAAAATTTCAGATTCAGTAATGACAAAGCCATGAGCTGCATCTTCTTAAAGATGGTATATTTTTAATATATAAAGCATGTTCCTAAATGTATTTCAAGTCAGCATCCTGCAAAAATGAAAATAAAAATCAGAAATTTCATGCCTAGATGAAAACAAATTATCTGAAACTGGTTGATTTATTCCAAAACAAAAACTAATAGTTGCCTCATTATAATTATTCTCCACTAACAAGATAAGCAATGGGAAGGAAATGTGCTAATACTACAAAGAATCATAAATTTAGGTAACACATGGGGATGAGCAGATGGAATGAGATAGGTAAACAGGTAGTATCTAATCATTTTGGATTAGATATTGTTAAATCTTTTTCTGGATGTCTGTAGACATACTCTGTATATACTGTGGAAAGGAAGAGAACAGAGATGGCTCAAGATCCACACATCTTTGGAAATTAAAGCCTAATTAAGAAGCTCTCTACGGAGAGGTAGGTCAAAGGCATTCTTTTATCCCTACTGCCTTTATTCAAGTTCCTTGATATCTTATTCCTCCCCTTTTATTCATCCCATTCTAAAAACTGAAGAATACATATTGTGTTAGTTTCTACCTTACATCCTCTATTGCAAAAGCTTTAGAATTTTAGAACCAAGAATTTTAAATCCCTCATCCCCTGCCACTAATGTTTTTAAAGGTTTTCTAATAGAATTTAATGTTGAAACTTCTTCCAAAAGTGTTTTTTTTTCTTCAGTTGGGCATCTAAAACATTTGGCTATGAGATACTAAGGCTTTGAAATAGCTTTTAATAGAGCTATCCATAAATACTTTCAAATTTCAGTTCAAGTGTATGTCTTCCTTCTAAGTTCAAAAGTTGTGTTTCATGCATATATGGGTTAAATTCCTGTTGAAATCATAGGCAGTGTTTCATTTCTCCGGAACAAGTTTTGGGTGAGCGTCTTTACAGTATAACCCAGAGAATACCAACTGATGCACGTTTTAAACTTTGACATAATTATTTGAAGATTTAAAGTTATTAATGTCATTCCCTTGATGATAAAATGAGGCATAAAGGAACACTTTTACTCTTATATTATCTTTCGTGCAGGAAAAAACAAGTGATGTTAATTTGTGTAAGTTTTAAACAACCTAGTAGAGATGAAGACGTTTTATCCCATATGACAATTCTGTGAAAGAATTTTCCGAAGTTTAGAAACTCGTGCGAGCACCGTGACATCCCTGACCAGCGATCTTCCTCCAGGCCACTTTTCACCGTCATTTTAAAATTTCAACTTAACTTGGGACTAAAACTATAACATTTTAACTTTGTCTCACCAACACACACTGAACTTCTAAGCGTCAAATTCGGCTTTAGGATGCTAACCCTCAGCTGACCACGACTCCAATCAGCATCCCAGCACAGCGTCCAACCCGCACTGGACAGCAACTACTCGCTTCCTGTCCTTACGTAATGCTATAGTTGTACCGGATTGGTGGGAGTGCTTGTCAGTCACATAAAGAGGGTGGGGATTCAAAGCTTCACTCTAAACAAGGCGCTGCGATTTACGTCATCACCGAGCGACATAGGCAGGAGAGGGAGGGGCCGGTTTGCGAGAACATCTAGGTGTTGGCGGGGGCAGCTTGCGAAGGTATCATGGCTGCTGCCGCTGAATTTAGTAGTCCGAACATCTGCGACAAGAGCCTGGACCGGAGCTGCAGCCCCAACCCTTCCCAAGAGGTGCTCTGCGAAATCTTTCGATCCCTGCATACCCTGGCTGGACAAGTAAGTGATGGCTTGTGGCAGCCGGGGTATGGGAACCCTCTGTTCCCTGCCCCCCTTTTCTTGTAGTGGAGGCGCAGGGTGGGGGCAGCTGAGGCCTGTGCCTTGGAGAACCTGGCCCGAGATGCGGAGGCCAGGGGAGGAGCCCCCTCCCAGCCCTCAGCCAGGCGGAGTGGGGATGGCGGCGCTCGCTTAGTTCAGGACCGATTGCACACTAAATATCTTTGCAACTATTCTTCCCAAGAATGTGGATAGTGTGAGTGAAAGCCCTGCTGCGAGAGGAACTAACTTGAAGGAACGAATGCAGAAAAGCTTCTTTGGGAGTTTGGGAGGCTTCTGGCGTTCTGGATCCCTTATTCTCCACTTCATTCATTGTTGAAATTGATAGGTTAGTACAGCCTGAGATTTCTGGAAAAGCGACCTCCGCCTCTTTTGGTTGTTTTCTTCTATTGAGTAGCTTGGTTTTGTTTGTTAATTTCCTTCTGACCATTGTGTGGATCTTTTGCCCTTTCAAACAGGGAGGAACATAAAGAATCTGAAATATTTTAGTATAAAGTTGGACGGATTATCCATGGTTGGTACTGTTTGTATCTGACTGTTGTTTATCCACTCTTTTAACCATTAACTAGTTTAATTGATTGATAAATACTTTTTGCAGAAATGTCATAATAAAATTGGGTTTAAATAAAAGTGCTTCTTTCTATTCCAATCAAGTTACTATTTTGTTTCAGTAAACAGTAAATTTTAAGTGAGAAACAATTTCAAAATAAGTTTGCTTATAAAAAGGAAATATTTCATATCTTTATATATGTTATATCTTAGGAATATTTTTTAAGCTATGAAAGTTTGTTATGGAGCCGGTGCTAGTGCACTGTACGAGGCAGGCTTATGTGTTGATATTGGTAACTTTCTTTATGCAAGTAAAACTGCGTGATTGAAAAAAATATTTTTTAAAGTATTGGATGGGTGGGGAATTACTATTTTGAACAATTACTCAATATTTTAAATATCCTAATTTGTTGTAATTAACAGAGCAAATGCTCTAAGTTAAGCATTTAGTTTGGTATAATGGAAAGATTCTTAGTAATAGAATTAAAAGACTAAAGTTGCTGAAAGACTAAAGTTTTAAAATCAGTTATTTGCCAAATAATTACAAAAATTATTTTATAAAGTTATTTTAAAGTTTTGGGTACTTGTATTTGATTCATTGCTATAAATTTTTCAGTCAAAAGACCCAAGACATTTAAATAGCTTGAAAGTTTGAGAACTTTGTTTGATATGGATATTGAAACTTTCAGGCTATTTATATCCTAATATCAGGATGAAAAAAAGTTTATGCTCATCTATAACTTACTGAAGTTTTTAGTGGTAAATTTTAAACAACTTTAGGAAATAATGTAAATGTTTCTTTTCATGTGTTTATATACTAAATTTGTAAAACTCATTAAAATTTAAAATTCAGATAGCTCTAGCTACAATTACAGATGTGATTAAAATTTGTTTGTTACCTGTCAAAGTAAATGTTTCATGAGTTCATGTGACACAGTGAAGGAACCTTCTACACAGATGTCAAAAAATTACTTTTTCTCATTAAATGCTAACCATTTGATACCACTCTTTATATTTTGAGATAGTATTGCTTAAAGATATGAAACCAGAGTACTGATAAAATTGCCCATGGTGAAAATTGCTATTTCCTTTTGCTACTAGCTTAAAGACTCTTTTTAAATGTATGTCATCCTATAGTATCATTATTATTAGCTCTCCTCAGACATAAAATTGAATGTTAAAAAGTATTTCTACCCCAAATTTCAAATTTACTAATTTTAACTTTATTGCTTTTCTCTGGATGGCCCATTTTACCAAACTGAAGAATTATATTGTCAGCCTGGATTTTCACATTAATAAAGTTTTTACTTAAAATGCAATTTAAATATTCCACATTTATGGTAGACTAATATAGTTTTAAGTGAGTGGTTTGCAGTTACAAGTCCTAAAAGGTAAAGATGAAAAGGCTTCATATTACTAGTAGGGAATTTGATGTATTGGGATAGTTAATTTGTGACATTAGTGTATTTCTCTTAAAGGACCAAATATCCTTAATTGCCCTTGAAGGCTTACATACTTGTGCTGAATTGAAATGAGAATATGATCTAAACATTAAGCTTCACTTTCTACAAGATACTATTTTTTTTTATAGAACATTTGATATTTTGCTTTGGTTGAGGATTTTGCTTGTATTTTTGTTAAACTATATTCCTAAATTTGTTATAATTGACCACCATATCTCTGAGGACTATCTTAAGTCCTCAGAGTATAGTATATTATACTATATTATATAGCATATTATAGCATAGTATACTACTGAATATAATAATAGTTTATTTCCATACATGTGTTATCTAACTAAATCTTTAATCATTAAATAATATAAATTATGATTAATGTCACTTTTAGTATAAACTCTAAATGAAATGAATATAAACAAATCTTTACCTGTAAAGTATACATAAAACTTTGTTTCTTAATGTATAGTGTGAACTTTAAATGTTTTCTGGTGTCATTTTTAACGGATAGTATATTTCTATCATGTAGTATTTATTCAATATAGTGTCTTTTAGGGGACTGACTTTAGATCTCTTTGGTTCTTTGTATAGTGATTCATCTTTTTGTTTTATCATAATCACAACTCTTAAGATCTATATTTGAATTATTTTGTAGAAAACATGACTAATTTTTAATAAATGATTTCTGAAAAAAAATAATAAACTTGATTCTACTATGCAGTATATCCTCATAGATTCTACTATGCAGTATATCCTCATATGTCTTAAAAATATACCCCTAGAAAAGTTTATGGTGCTTCACTCTGATTTACTCAAAAGACTAGGAATGGAGGCTTTCTCTCTTAAATTTTCACTTATTTTGATATTAATTTTATACTCAGGTTCTTGGTAATTTTCTGTAAATTTATTTTAGTAGGTCACACATAGCCTTATACAAATTTCTCATATAGTGATCAATTTACTGGAGAACACTTTTAGCAGAAGAACTGGCCATTCTCCCTGGTCTGGTCACTTATTTCACTATTATAGAAAATATATTTTGAATTTCAGTTTTTACAGCTAAATTATGGTTTGCTTTAGAAATGAAGTGTTGCTATTCAGTTTTTGCTTTAGACTTTATATGTGTGAATAAACTTGATTTTTAATTATTTTTAAAAGTGGTTAAAGTTGAAAACAAAAATATGATTCAGAAGACTTCAGATTTATGTGTATGTACATATTTAACCAAAAGAGAGTATATATATGTATATGTATATATATATATATATATATATTCATAGCTTTCATGATGTGCCTGATGTCTCCTGTTTAACTAAAAATAGTAGTGTTTTAACTAGTAGTAGTAGGATTCTAAAAAAGGCAAGTCTGTCTTGGCTGCCAATCAGAGGATTTTAGATATTGATGTATTTTTTTTAAAAAATCACATCTTTTCATCTTTCATGGGTGGTTTCACCTTTACGATGGTCCCATTGCACAGACCCAAGAATAGAATTACAATGAGATGTCATACTCTTTTTTAAAAGAAAATCGTACCTTTTTTTTGCCTTTTAAAATGGTTAATTAGGTAGAGCATTTTAATGTACTATTAAAAGCTTGATGACTTTGAGCTAAAAAGGTGTGTTACTCTATAGAAATCTTATTTTTTGTCAATCCCGTATGAACAGCTTAATTGTGTAATTTTTGTGATGTTGCTGGTTTGCCCCTTCGAAGCTTAACCTCAAAGATGATGTGGTGAAAATTACAATCGATTGGAACAAGCTCCAGAGCCTCTCAGCATTCCAGCCTGCTTTGCTCTTTAGTGCACTTGAGCAACATGTTTTATATTTACAGGTAAATTTCTTGTTAAAAATGTTGACTTGATACTGAGAATAGAAATTAATTGTAGTTAAATTATAAGCTGGAGTGTTTGTCAGTTCTGTCTTAACACTATACCAATAATGTTATTAATGAAGGTTACTTCATCCAGATTGGATCCAGGTCTTTTAATTTACATAGTTATCAGAACAGTTACAGAAATGTAGCTGAAAAGGCCAATGCGGGTATGAAGATCGAATGAATGCAATTCTATTCAATTCTAGGCTTGCACTGAAAATTCAATACAGTTCCATCTATGGTGGGTTATAATTAAGCAATAAGACACGGCAGGTGTGTGTCATGCTATGATAATGATTCCATGCCTTGGGTGAGTTTGGAGGCTCATGGAGTGCTTTCAGTGGTTCGAGAAGTGGCATTATCCCAGCATGACACATCCTGGAGTGTCTATTGCAATTAAACAGTTTCAGCATAGTTTTTAAAAAGAAAGTAATTTCTGTGACATTAATGTCTCATCTTAGTAAGTAGCCAGTCACTATTTTATTCTTAAACAGTCTGAAATAATTCATCCTTTATATTAGAAGTCAACATTGAATTATTTATAATGCCATTGCTATTTTTGAAAATATATCCTTTCAATAACTGAACAGTATTATGACCTTGCTGGTCTCTAATTGAATATCTCTGCAATTATAATTGATGAAGTTTGCAGTTTATCTCTAATCGAAGTATAAAATAAGAAGTGTCAGAAAGGTAATTGGAAGAACTGTTTCGATTGGTCAGTTTATGCTATTAAGATGTTATAAGGTTTAGAGAGTATTTAGCATAGCAGACAATGGAAGCAAAATTATAGGTGTGAAAAAATAATTCAAACATTAACAAGCAGTCTGTTTTGATTAACAGCTACTAATTTTCAGCCCTCTGTTCAGTGACTATGGGAAACTTTAAGTCTGTTTCACATAAAAAGTGATAGCTATCTTGGTTTGAGCAGGTGCAATGAGTTGCAGAACTCAATTAAGATCTATTTGGGGGAAGGGTGTAATTTATATTATACAATTTATGTTTTACAATAGGGTTTCCCCTTCTAGTATAGTGATAGGCCTCTATCTCTCTTGGCTATGGATCTTGCTAGATTTCTTTTTCCTTGTTCATGTTCTTTTTAAAAATTTAATTTCATGACCCAAGAAGATATCTTGCTACATCAGGAAAAGCCCAAGTGTTCACTCAGCATAACACCTATATATTTCATGTCTATGCTCTCTCATTCACTTTGGCCAACTGCAGTTTCAAGTGGAGAATCTCCAGTGATATAGTGATAATGCAGGGCTTTGCTGAGTGAGAGCAGTGGCTCTCATGTTAAGGAGGAAAAATACTAAGCCTTAGTGTTCTGAGGAGGCATTTGAATGACATGTTAATTAAGTGGCATTGGTGCCAGAGGCTGAGGCTTTGATTTGGCACAAAATAAAAGATGAGTGACAGAATGGTTCCTCAAAGAAAAATTTTTAAATTTCCTCAGGGTTTTTTTTTTTTTTTAAACAGACTTATAGCAAAGAATAATGATCACAATGGCTGAGAACTACAAATACATTTGGTTAGATCTGTGTATCTTGGTATACCAACTTTTTATATTTAGTAATTTTAAATACTGCATTTACTTAGCAGAAATTTGTATAAATATTTAAATGTGTGATTAATTTTGATCAGTTTGAACCCTAGTACTTGGAATTGTGTTCTTTTCAGCCTTTTTTAGCAAAACTTCAGCCTCTGATTAAAGAGGAGGATACAACTGTTGTTGAAGAGATAGGAAAAACAGAAACAGCGAACAAGAATGAAGTAAGTGCCAAATTTCCCATTGGCGACATACAAGAGGAAGAAAAGCACAAAGATGGTGATTTAGGAGATGTGAAAAAGACACAGATCCATTTTGATCCAGAAGTAGTTCAAATAAAAGCTGGAAAAGCAGAAGTAAGTTTTTTTCTGGGGGAGAGGGGATTTTTTTTTCAAATCTTGTGGTTAAATTGGTAAAACATGCGTACTTATTGTTTGTAGATTGACAGGCGAATATCTGCATTTATTGAAAGAAAGCAAGCTGAAATCAATGAAAACAACGTCAGGGAATTTTGCAATGTTATTGACTGTAATCAAGGTAACTACCTAGAAGTTCATTTTTCATAGGATTTTAAGCGCTGTTTTAAAGTTGCACTCATTTTTCATTTGTTTTTAAACATGAATGACATCAAGAATACAATTTACTTCAGAGGTTTATTTAGAAAGTAAGGCACCAGAATTTTCTTCTGTTTAATAGACGATATTGCAAAAATGGTTTTCATTTTTGTTACACAAAAAAACAAAGAAATTCTAGCATAAAAAGGCTAATGTTTACTGCAAGTGAAAAGGTCGTTTTAAAGTTCCTTTAGGAAATGAAGTGTAGAGTATAAGGTTGCTTCATCTCTTTAGTAAGAAAGAACTAAGCTAGTAAATTTCAAGCCAGTTAATGTACTTAGGGAATTATGATGTTAATGTATAAAAGTGAAATTGGTAAAGTTAATACTCCTCAAGAGGGAGCAGTTTTCTCACTACTCCTGAGCGATTTGAAATGTGCTGTCACAATACAACCAATTTGTCATGAAGACTACTTGTCTTATGTTGTTTTCCTTTTTCTCATAGTGCATACATTTGCTGTTTTTCATCAGATTCTCCTTTCCCTCTCCCCTTGATGCAGTAGTACATTTACAGATTGTAGGTATGCTGCAGAATACAAAATACTGCAAGCACTCACATGAATCATACTCAGACCTCATAGTAATAATCAGAACAAGTAGTTCTTAGAAGAAATTATGGAGAAGAGTTCATAATTGAAATGAACATTTTTCTGGTTGCTTCTAATATTTCTTGACTAATAATTATGAATGCAGAATTGTCAGAAGAACCTAGAATTGGCTTTTACTTATCACATTGGTGGACTGATTCTCTTTATAACAAAGATAATACACATTCTAAATTCAGCTTTTTCTACTGTTAGCATCATCCATGTGTATTTCTAGATTGGTTTATTTTCCTGGTAGCTTTTCAGAACAGGTGCAACAGTGGCAAAAACTCAGGTACTATAATCCAACTGCACGCAACCCATGAGAAAGGGTTTGTTGAGGGAGCAAGCACATGTGCCACTAATGTTATTCCTCTGTTCTCCCTGCTAACTCTATTATTATAAACCACCAGGGGATAGAAATTGACAGGAATTGAAATGCTCAGCAGGATCCCTTGGCCCATTCAATCCCTTGCTGGCTCAAAACAGTGCTAGCAAGAATTGCTGTGAAGAGTGACTAGCACTCATGCATTCGCTATCTTCACACCATGCTGCATTTCTCACTGATGGGTCAGTTAATCTATATATTTGGAATATAGCTCTGGAATGGATGATAGCTTCTTTTTTTAACCCTTGGCCCCACAAAATCATAAAATGGTAGAAAGAGAATGGAGAAGTGATGGCCCTTTAAACATATTTTGATGTGTATCCAAAAAAAGGAAAAAAAAAACAACTAAAAATTACCTGTTTTAGTATCTCTAAATAAAATATAAGTATATTTGGAATTTTATGTACACAGCATGAACTGTTCATCAGCAGAACTATTAAGGAAACTTAGACTGAAAAAATAATAAATATTTGTAATGTCTTAATGCTTTTAATACTTTTCAGTTTGACCTAAATATAAACAATGGATTAAAAAAAATCAAATTCTAGGGGAAAAGAGTATTCTTTTCATATCTCTTTTGCCAAGTTCCATTTTTTATTATAATAATCAGCAGGTTTTCAGAAAATTGACTGCAGGTCATGGTTTTAATTAATGTTATTTTAAACGTTATTTCATGATATTTGACACGTTCATATATTCCATTAACATCGTTACAGTTTTCCTCCTTGGTTTGTAATTTGTTGATACTTGATTTAAAAGAAACTGTAATTTTCATAACACATCTTTCCCAAAATTTTTGAAGGGGGCAGGGTGGAAAAGGTAATTAACTTTTGTAGAGATTCTTTCTTGGTGAATGTTGGAAATCTAAAGTGGAAAGGTATATGTCACATACTTGATGTGTAGAATTCTTATAAAAATGTTAAGTATATAATCAGTCCTTTTAGATGTTCCCCATCTGATCAGTAATGCTGTATTTTTTAAAAAAGATATTTGAATGAAAATGATATATTCTTTTTAGTTACATGATGAAGTATAACAAATAATATTTCTTTGGCTTAGAATTAAAGTATTCTCTATAACAAATAATTTTTTCTAAAGGTGTAGGTGATTTCTAAGTATACTGGTTTTCATTTTAAATTATATTATTTGTGTTGAGAACTTTTTATTTGTTAATCTGGAAATTAGATAAGATTAGATATGATAAATTTTAGAGGGTAAAGAAGAGCACTAACTTTTATCTTTTATGTGATGGTAATTTATTATTTAAAATAATAGTTAAATTTTTGGAAGCTTATCAAAATTTTATACTCAAGTATATATATATAAATGTGTACTCTGAATTCCTCTTAGAAAACAGTTGTGCAAGGACTGATGCCATTTTTACCCCTTATCCGGGATTTAAAAGTCATGTAAAAGGTAAGTATTTGTTATATAGTGTCTTCATCACTGATAGGAGCTTATTCGCAATACTTTTCCAAAGTGGAATCAAAATCACTTGCATTTCTAAATTTTGTTTATTTTAAAGCAACAAAAAAAGTCTTGCCCTTTTTCATACTAAGGTTTGTGGCTAAATGACCTTAATGAAAAGAATAAAAAAGTACTGTTAGAGAGAAAATGCATGATGATTGAAATGTAAATTTACACAGGCTCAAAACTTTCTTAATTTAGTTTCTAGAGTTGTGAATACATACGGACCACAAACTAGACCTGAAGGAATGCAAGGGTCAGGTCATGAAGCTAACAGCATGGTCCGAGATTGTGGGAATCAGGCTGTAGAAGAACGACTGCAGAATATTGAGGCTCACTTGCGATTGAAGACAGGTAAGTGGAAGGCTGGGCAGTGCCCTGCAATATAACTTTGTAGGTGGTTCCAGTTCTTGTGGTCATCAGATTTTCATTGATCAGCTGTCATGTGTGAAACCTTATCGGTACCAGGTCTCTACTATTAGGAATTTATCGTTTATGTCTTTATGCTTATCTCCCTCCCTTACACTTTTCACCAATTGAGAAAGTGTTAGTAGAAACAGGTTCTAAATAGATTTCAACACTCTGTTTATTAAAATACCGCTGACTCCTACTGTAGCCTCTCTTGCTGTCAGTTTTATAACTTAATCATGACTAACTCTCATTCTTATCACTGTGTCAGGTACAAAATATTGATAAATGTGATCCTATCCTCTCATGAGGATAAGCATATAAATGAATAAGTAAATGCCATATAGGAAGTATGCTCGAATTTAGAATAATTGTGCCAGTCATTCAGGAAGTACTATGCATATTTCAACTCACTAATATTCAGTGGAACCCTTAAAGTATAGGTGGTGGTATCATTGTCAGATAAAGAAACTGAATTTCAAAAACTACAAGCAGCTTGCCCATGGTGGTAAGTGCTATTAGATATTAGCAGACTATAAATCCTGCATCTCTCCTCACTGACTCAAATCTCTCAAATCTACCCACTTCTGTCTTCCTTTCTGGCCACTACTCTAGTTAAAACTCACTGTGTTCTCTGCCTTGGACTGATGGAAAAATATTAACTGGTTACTTCAGTACTAGACTTTTCCTCTAGACCATTCTCTACCCTGTGACCAATTTGCTTTTTCTAAAGCTGAGATCTAATCTTACTAATCCCCAGCTAAAACTTCTTTAATGGTTTTCAGTTGCCTTAACGAGCATACCAAACGTAGTACTTAATTATTCTGTAAATAAGTATTACATTCCTATGTATGCCAGGTACTATTCTAAGCATTGAGAATACATGTGAACAAAAATTTTAATACATAAATTGTGTACACTAGGAGAAAAGGGCTACTTGACAAAAGAAGAAAGGAGATTGGAACGGGAGGGGGGTGTACTATTAAAATGCACAATCTACATTTATTGTTCCAGCCATTTCTCTGGGCTTCCCAGCTCCCACCCATTTTGCTACCCTACAGCATTGACCAGTGCTTTTTCATTTACCTATACTTTCTCATTCTGACCAGAGGGGTGTGAATTTTCCTTTTACACAGCCTCATATTTAGTATTTTTTCCCCATATATATAGTCTCATAGCATCTGACCCTCCTTTATGTAGCAGTTTTCACAGTTCTACTTGTGTATCTGTCTCTTATGCTAGATAGTAAGGTCTGTGAGAACACTGTCAGGTTCATTACCTAGCACCTAATGCAATGTCTGGCACAAAATAGGCACTTACTCAAATGTTTATTGAATGAAGACTGCTCATTTCACCTTTTCAAATATGTGTGCAAAGTACAATGAGGATGCAAAGTTAGTGTACAACTCTTAAGGAAGGTCAAGGTATGGTATTGCCAATGAAATAACATTTGTGCCCTTTGAAGGGTTAGTAGGAATTTTTCAGCAGTCAGGAACAAAGCATTCCAGAAAAAGAGAGAAAAGCATCTGCAGAATAGGCACAAAGTATGATTCAGGGAATTTCTGAGTCCGGTCTAGCTGGAGTGCTTGCTGGATGGAGGTAGAGATAAAAAGACTGAAAAATCTTTGGAGATAATAGATTACCATTAAAAATTAAAGATTAATCACTTCCTCCAGAACTAGATGAACTTAAAATGCAACTATGTTAAAGGATTGACTGATTTATTACATCTTCATCACCCAGCTAGTTGATTCAATACCTAATGAATACTTACAATGTGCAAACTCTATTTTAGAGTTGGGGAAAAGACAGATTAATCGTGAAGTGGAATGTTAAAGGGCAATGAAGGGAAGGTGTGGCAGGGGGCACAGGAGCCTCCCTGTGAAGAGGTTCAGGCAATGCTTTATTGACCTAGTGAAGCTTGAACTTGCTCTTGAAAGGTACAGAGGTGAGACAGGATATTCTAGATAAAGGAAATACTGAGAGAAAAGTCAAATGAATAAGTTATTCATTTTAACCTTATCTAAGGTAAAAACCAAGATTCTAAGAGAAACATTTTTCAAAAAAGAAATGTTTATAGGATTTTTATATTTAACAAGTTGATACTTTTGATATGAAAATTTGCCCATATTCTTTAATTACATAATGATTGTCTAATCATGTATTCATTTAGTCAGTAAATATTGAGCACCTGTGTAGTAGATGAACTGATGCTTCCCACACTCATGCAGTACACAAACTACAGAACCAATGACAAAACAGAGTTCTGCCCTCGTGGAGCTTACATTAGCGTGGAGAAGCAGGTAATAAAAAATGTCTAGAATGTCAGGTGGCAGTGATGGTTGGAGAAAATTAAGGTAAAGAGGTTAGGGAGTACCAGTTTAGGGGGAGGCATAGCAGTAGTATTTTTAAGAGTAATAGAGAAGGCCTTATCAGTGAGGTGATTTTTGATCCACAATCTGTCTGAAGTTGTTGAGAATGAGCCTTATGAAGATGGGGGTAGATGGAGCCAAAAGTTATAAAGCTGGGGGGGGGGGAGGGGCAGGGGCCCGGTTATGGCCTGGTTGAATTAAAAAAATATATAAGTAATCAGGAGACTGTAAGGATAGCTTGGGAGAATGTTTGGATTGTGTAGGACTAAACGTTTCATATTTTAATTTGAGTGAGATGTGAAGGTTTTAGAAGATTTCATACAGAAAACTGACAATCTAACATACTTTAAAAGACTCATCAGGTACTCTGTTGAAGAGTACAAGCTATGGGAGACCAGTTTGGAGGCTGTGATAACATAGGGAGTGATGTTGGTCTGGATCAGAATGGTCATATTGGAATATTGGAGGTGCTAAGAATGAAAGACTTTAGAATATAATCGTAACTTGAATTTTAAGGAAGCTTATTTATCTTCTCCCATTCTAGAAACTTTGTTAAAATTTAAGCACCTCTTGGCCCTCCCTGGTGGCGCAGCGGGTTAAAGCACAGCACTGAGAATCTAAAGCCGCTTCCGCATGAGTTCAATTTCCGCCTGCCCCGGAGGTGACCACATGGTGTGGCAGACCTCTCCTGACCCGCCCGCTGCTCCCCTCAGCAGTGTACTTCGTAGATCTGCCTGTTCTGTTCCCCACTCTGTCTCTGGTGAAGCCTCTCGCCTCCCCTGAGCTTCTGGCCTGTACCCCAGTTCTGTATGCACAAATAAATAAATCTTTAAAAAAAAAAATTTAAGCACCTCTTTAACATTCTTCTAGTTTAAAGAAGAAAATGTGGCACATAGGGAAAAATATAAATTGAGGAAAATAAAGTGACATTGGAACCACTGAATTGAATTGCCATATGTTACTATGTATTTTCTCTTCCCAAATAACTGTCAGTCTGTCAGATATACTAGTTGTTCTATACAGGATCTATTTATTATCTTGTAACATTAACCAAAACTAACAATAGGAAACATAAATATGGTACAACATATCCCTTGGTAGTAGTATATGAAAATGTGAACAGTGTTTCTTTCTATTAATTTTAAGTAGTCCTATTTCTTTTTGTAAATGTCTTTGAATGATATTTTAAGAACAGAAATTGTAAGAATATTTTACTGTGTTTAGGTGGTCCGGTGCCAAGAGACATTTATCAGAGAATTAAAAAACTTGAGGATAAAATCCTTGAATTGGAAGGCATCTCTCCTGAATATTTTCAATCTGTAGTAAGTATCAGTGTCTTTTAAAAGAAATAAATGTTATTTTAAGGTTCCTCATCATATAGCAGTTCACTCATTAATCTGCTGTATATGTAACAATGTTTTAATAGTTAAAGAATGGATTTTGTGTAAAGAACTAGGAATTACCTACTTCTTTAAAATTTCTTATTCTGAATATTGATTATTAACTCACACTTTTAAAAAAAGATACATATTCTCAAATTCTCAAATTTAAGACTACTTAAGCTTAGATAGTGGTCAGTTCTGTAACTCTGAATTTGTTACCATGTAAAACAAAGGTTTCCTCTCAGGCCTGTTCTTTCAGTTTTCCTCCTGCCTCCTCAGTCCCTAACTGTTCCTTCCCTCAGCTCATACATGTTTACTTGTCACTTTTGCCTATACTTTTAAACACATACCTCAGTTTGACACTTTAGTTTTTTTCTTTACCTTACCCATTAGATTTTTTAAAAGTCTAGTCAGTTCCTCACCAATAGCATTTGTTCACTCATTCTTACCATTCCTTTTTCCAAGGACATCAAGAAACAATGTGCCATTAAGTATCTTCTTTGTCATATCAGCATGTTACAGACAAGCAACTCATAGTTCATTGTGTCTTTTCTTCAGTCTTCCAGGGTGACTGCACATAATACCTGCCATTTTTGTTTTGTATATTTGTTGTTGTTTACACTGTAGAGGATTTTCAATGTTATGTAAACAGTAAGAAGAACTAAAATAGTAAAGTTGAATAAAAATTTTAATTGACAAAATTTTAGTGAAAATTTTACTAAAAATCTTCTGAAAAAATTAAAAATAGCTCATATTTGTGTGATTGTTATAAATCACTGGCAAAAATATATTTTAAATTATTTTAGGTATACCAGTAATCTTCACAGTTTTACCAGTATATTATTGCAAGTACAGAAAAGAAGTATTTCCAGATGGAGAAAGCAGTTAGATAACAAGAGTGCAGCTAGTACAAAATATCAAAAATTTAGAGAAAGATTTTTAGTGATTTATTTCTCTAAAAGTAAAATGAAGTTCACTAAAGTACTAAGAGCTGAAGCTAAGATTAGATAAGGTAATGCCAGCCGATCACTAAGCCTACTGCCTACCAGATGGCAGGATCTCAGTAAATATTAACATCTATTTAGTTTTAGAAGCCATCTGTGAAGTAACTGTAGAAAGCAGGATAAGTCTCACAATTCCTTAGGCCTTCAGTTGTCTAGATTCACAAAATTTGTTGATTATGCTATGTAATTACAAAGGTCTTTCAACTATAGTTGGCTTTTCCATTCATTAAAGAATTCCTGGCTCAATTTCACACCTTATTAATATAATTCTTGTTAACAAAAGAACTTGACCTTCAGTCAGGGAGACTTTGCTTTTTCACATTTTTCTCTGATTCTGATTTATAAAAGCTTAGTACACCTATTACCAAATTTGGTTAACAAAATGAGAAGTTCTTCAACTCATAACCTTTTGTTTGTATCTATTCTATACAAGCTTGAGGGTTTGGATGAAGAGATGCGGTTCGATTGTAGAGGACTTTCAGTGCTGACCCAGAAGTTTAAAGTTTGTTCTCCCTGCCAAAGAAGGGGGGGAAACTATTGAAAACATTTGGGTAGGGAAATGACTTGTGAAAATGAAATTTAGAACAGTTATCTGATTCTGTTCTATGAAAGAAATGAAAAGGAAGCGTCTAAGGAGATAGTGTTATATACTAGCTTAAATTTGAAGTAAGATCCTAATCTAAGAGTGATGATAGAAAATTTTAGTGTAAGAGACTTTAAAAAAGAGAAGTTGACAAATAGTGATAATTGATTGGAAATGGAGAGAGACATCAAATCTTTCTAGCAATACACATTTTATTAGAAGGGTAACTTCTGGAATGATATTGAAAGTGACATATTTAAATTAATAGTACAGAACACACCAAACACTGAAAAGGTGTCAACATTCAGACTGACTCTATTCTCAATACCTGTGAAAATATTAAGGCACAAGCCCAGAGGGAAATAAGAGTTCATGCTCCTCTTTCCATAATAAAAGAAGTATACCATATCTAAGACTGTCCTTGCCACAAGAGGAGCTGAACACCATCCTTCAGAGGACATAGTGCATTACTCATCACACTCATCGTCCTCATCTGGGAAGTTGGCATAATTTTACATATTTTTCCCTCAAAAGTATACAGAAAAGATTTTAAGCTTCTAAAGTTAGACGTTGAGCCCATTATATTTTCAAAGGATTGAACTTATTTTAGAAACTGAACTTCTGGATTCTGAACAGCTTTTAATTGAAATATGTTAAAATTTGAGTGCGGTAATACTTTAATTTTGTAAGGGCATCATTTAACAGACTGTTTATAAGACAGATCTGTATGAGTATTTTGAAAGAATTAACTCACTTTAAATTACAACCCTTTGAAAACAATAAACATAATATGCTTCACAATTATATTTCCACAGTATTTTGTTCCTTTTATTACATATCACATGCAGTTATGTATTTACACATCTGTTTTTCACAGTATGTTCTGAACCTTTGAAGGGCAGGGGCTGTATCTTGTTGCTCCTTGAACATACAGTACAGTAGCCATCAAGTGAATGACTGAATAAGACTTAGCTTGATATTTAATAACTGGGCTTTTAAAGGAGTGTTAACTTTGGTCCAAGCAGTGACTAGACAGTTTTAGCCTCTGTAATGATGGTTCCTGGTTCCAAAAGGAAGTATCAGAAGAGGAAAGTTCTGAAGGCTGAGTCAGCATCATATGACAGGTCATGTATGTGTGAAAATGCATGGGCCTGAAGCATGAGGTAAGTAACTGGATTTGGTTGGAAAATTAACTGCAAGCACATTTTGGAGTATCTTGAAGCTCACATTAACTATCTTGTAATGCCAGTGTTAACTAGTTTTTGAGAAAAAAGATACCTATATCTAGTTCCCTATCTAGTGCCATTTAGAAATGTGAGAAACAGATGGGAAAGAAACATCATTGTCTGCCTGTGCCAGGGAGAAAAATGAAGATCCAAGTCAGGCAGTAGGAATAGAAAACCCCCCCTTTTTTTTTTTATTAAAACAATTTTGTAAGCCACTTTTTTTTTAATTGAGATAACTTTAGATAACTATGCTGTATAGGTTCAGTATTACATTTCTCACATGCCCACACCCAGATATACAGTTGCCATCAAAAACCAGTTGGCCCCTTCTATCCAGTTCTCTCCCTTCTCCTTCCTCTTTGGTAACCATCTTTTTGTTATCAGCAAAGGTTTATTTTTGGTTTTGTTTTCTTCATATTTCACACGAATAAAGTCATGCATGATTTATAACTTTTGATTTACTTTACTTAGTTTAATACCTTCATGATCCAACTAGCAAGAGCTGTTGTATATACCAAGAGTTCATCTTTTTTTATAACTGAGTAGTAGTTCCTTGTGTGTATATACCACATCTTCCTGATCAGTCATCTGTTTTTGGACCCTTGAGCTTTTTTCATGTCTTGGCAATTGTGATAGCGCTGCAAGGAACATAGGGTAGCTGTGTCTTTTCAAGTTAGTGCTTTCATGGTCTTTGGAAAAGTACCCAGAATTGGGGTTACTGGATCATTTGGTAGTTTTATTTTTTATTTATTTATTTATTTATTTTTTTAAGATTTATTTATTTATTTGTGCATACAGAACTGGGGTACAGGCCAGAGACTCAGGGGCGGTGAGAGGCTTCACCAGAGACAGAGTGGGGAGCAGAACAGGCAGATCTACGAAGTACACTGCTGAGGGAAGCAGCAGGCAGGCCAGGAGAGGTCTGGCTCGCCATGTGGTCTCCTCCGGGGCAGGCGGCAGGCGGGAATCGAACTCATGCGGAAGTGGCTTCAGGTTCTCAGTGCTGTGCTTTAACCCGCTGCGCCACCAGGGAGGGCCTGGTAGTTTTATTTTTAATTTTTTGAAGAACCTCCATATATTTTCCATAGTGGTTACATCAATTTACATTCCCATCAACACTGGACAATAGCCACTCTAAAGCATTGTGAGGTGAAATCTCATTGTGGCTTTGGTCTGTATTTGCCTGGTGATAAGCAATGTAGAGCATCTCTTCATGTTTCTGTAGGCCATCTCTAGTTCTTTGGTGAAATGTTTGTTTAGAGCTTTTGCCCATTTTTTAATTAGGTTGTATGTGTTGCTTCCTGTTGAATTGTACAAGTTTATATATTTTGGATATTAATTAGAAGAGGAAACATTTTAGAGACTGCGCTTGTAGAATTGGTGGTCTTTTACAACTGATTAAAAGGAAGAAGTTGGTCAAAAAAGAGGTCTCCTTACCCCACTGTGTGTCCTTCAAACATACATTTCCTGAGTATGTGCATGCACACACAAACTTTTCCATCAGGACATGGGCATTATACATGTAGCTATAAATTTCTAAGTAATTATCATAAGTATGATAATGGGAAAGAAGAAATAATCTTGGATTTTGTTTATTTAATGTGCTGTGCTCTTATTTAAAACTTCCACTTCTTACCCTGAGAGTTCCTGCTATCTAAAAAATAAATGTAAAGCGAGTCTGTTGTATCCACAATAAATGGGGTGTTCCTAAGTATCTTGTCAAACTATTCTACTCAGACATAAAATAAGTCCCTAAAGACTATATTTTATTATTTTTTTAATTCACTGAACCACTGATGTCCTTAGTCTTCTTATTCTGATACTTCTCACTTTGGTTTCATGGTACAGTAACTTAATTGCTCAGTGACATGGAAACTATCAATATTTTACAAATTGTTAGTATAAGAGGAAATGTATTCTTATTAAGTGTATGAAACCCCCTTCTTCAGAAAGTAGGAGCCTGGACAGTGACCAAATTAAAGTCCACGCCTTTATCTGTCTTAGTACCCAGCTCAGTTTTGCAATAGAAGGAACTTATTTATAATAGCGGTATTCTAGCCATATTCAATAATTCCAAAACTTAGTGATTTCCCTTATAATTACTAACAAGAGGCACACCTCACTATTCTTTGAAGTAACATTTAGCACAAAGGAAAATGTGAATTTTTAACCTTCTAAATTTCAATGGCCAGAAATGTTCATGAGAAAATGTTAATCACCATACTCATAGATCCTATGTCAGTGTTCTAATCTGCCAACATATTACTAACATAAATAACAGTATACTAATCTGCCATTAAAAATCTTAGAATTCTGTAATTCTAAGTCAAACTCTTGAGTTTGTCAATCATTATATTGCCATCTTCAAATGGTGGAAATTTGAACTCAACTGCCTTAAACCTTAGGGAATTTAATATGTAGGAAGCCCAACTATAAGACAGTTTTGAAGGGACAGCTGCTTCAATAGCTAAATCATGATTCAAAAAAGTAGATACTTTCCTCGCACAGCTCTGCTTAATTTTGACTCCTTTCCTAGCGGATTGTGAGATGACCACAGCTCTTCTCAGGTATCTTCCAGATACAGCAAGTGGCCACAAAAACTGTTTCCTTTCAGAACTGTTTCTTAGAAATGAGGATGACTTTTTTCCTGAAGCTCTCCTCCTAACAGCCTAACAGACTTCTTCATTGGCCAGATTAGCCTCACATCTACATCAGTCACATTTGAGTCACATAAAGGAACTGTGAATAACTACCCTCCATGTGTGTGTGTGTTCACCTCATGGCCTGGTATTCCATTCTATCTTCCTGTCTGTTGTGATTTCACTTGTTCAGTATCTTGGGATGGAAAGGTTATAAAAAAGGAGACTACGTAGAAAGTCCCCAGAGTACCTTTCTACAACTGCTTAGCCTCATTAGAAGCTAGACATTATGGGAAAGTATGTATTGCTAGGACAAGCATGTTGCCTCAGTGTTACTATGACAGACATTTAATGCCATCTTTGGAGAATAACTTCCAAATCCAAAAGGATGGGTCTGGGTTGCGGGTTGATGAGTCTGTCCTCTTGGCTCCTGCCAGGGGACTCTACATTTTGTAGAGTCTTCTATAAAGAAAAAAAGTTGTTAAGATATCCTAAGCATTGATTTTCTACTTTTTATCTAGAACTTTTCTGGAAAAAGAAGAAAAGTTCAACTACCTCAAGTAAGTTAACTGTATTTTCATTTTGCCTTTGAAATAATTTAGTGTTATACCTTTCTTACTAATAAAAAATTCTATAATGTTTACTGTTATGGACATACCTTGAATTTAGGGCTGGAAAAAAAAGGGCAGCATAAATTATGTACTTGAATTAGAGAAATAATTTCATTTCAAGGGCATAGACTAACTAGATGAGTCAAATAAATATGTTTTTATTCGGCTATTAATAGTAGGGGAATATGTTAGTTGCAGAATACTGACAAATAATAAATGCTCAAGTAATTTAAATCTCACCCCCCCTCTCTTTTGCAGTTACTGCTCATTAGCAGCACCTAAGTCAGAGAGGGTATTTGACATCCTGGTCGTAGTACTAATTTAGTGAAATCTTAATTATTAAGTTCTGCTAGTCTTTCATGGTGGTAATAAAAAATTTCAAATAGAATAATACTTATTTCTTACTATAAAAATTTTTTTTTAAAGATTTATTTATTTGTGCATACAGAGCTGGGGTACAGGCCAGAGGCTCAGGGGCAGTGAGAGGCTTCACCAGAGACAGAGTGAGGAGCAGAACACTGCGACGAAGTACACTGCTGAGGGGAGCAGCGGGCGGGTCAGGAGAGGTCTGCCATGCCATGTGGTCACCTCCAGGGCAGGCGGGAATTGAACTCATGCGGAAGAGGCTTTAACTTCTCAGTGCTATACTTTAACCCGCTGCACCAGGGAAGGCCCGACTATAAAATTTTGAGTAAATTTTTGAAAGGAATCAATTTTTTTACAGGGGAAGTAATTGATTATAATTGATTCATCCAAAGAGACTTTGTTGGATCCAAGTATTTTAGGTATAACGGTTAACCCTAATGTCTAAGTTTTTTTCACTATTGATTATAAGAATAGTCATTTTTTGTTGTTTTTTTTTTTAAAGAAACTTGTTATAGTCTTCAGAGCATCAAAGGTTAAGAAGTGCTTTGTCATTAGGAGAAAGTAATAAATATTAAATTCTTGTTATTTTTATGCCTTTTTTATATTTCTGATCTAATCAACTTATATAGTTCATTTTTAACATTTTTCTTCTGGGGGAAGAAAAGACATTTACAAAAGATACTGGATATTTTAAATATTTATAGTTCATTTAGCACTTTATCTGCAGTAAGATACTTCAGAGTCTTATTCAGCAATTTGTGTTCTTATTGTTTACAGCAGAACTATTCACTGGCTGAACTTGATGAGAAAATTAGTGCCCTCAAACAAGCCCTGCTCAGAAAATCAAGAGAAGCAGAATCCATGGCAACTCACCACCTTCCATGAAAATGTCCTCTCATCCTTGTCACTTTGCTTTTATATATGTGTGTCTTAACTTTGACTACAACTAATCAAATAGATCTACAGTGCTATATCTATTAGCACTGTAGACTTCCTTCTGAAGTCAAGATTTATTTTCACATGAGCTCAGCTTACAGCAAGTAATCTTCAGATATTCCAGTAAGTTTTGAAATAGTTAATGCATAAAAAATAGCATTGTCAGAATTTATTCCCTTCTGTTTTAAAGGAGGTCTTTTGAAAATTTAAAAATTTGAAAGTACATCTTTTTGTGTGTATGTGTACCACAAAACACAAATTTATTTTGAGTTGTGATCTTTAAAAGAACTTTATATTTGTAACATCGATTTTAACTAGTTTATTAGTTTATGATGTTTGAATCAGTACTTTGTGCATAAACAAAAATTTACTAGCTGAAATGAATTTTAAATAAATGTATACATTTTTTTAACATCAGTTTTTATGTCAATAAACAGTAGATCCCACCTTTACCCTGTGTGGGCTATGTGATCTTGAATATGTTACACTCTCTGTGCCTGTTTCTTTTCCTATAAAATGGGAATAATAGAATTTGCCTATTGTCATGAAAAACAGATACCATCATTCATGTGTAGCTTTTGAAACTAACCCAAGTTAAGTTCTCTGTGACTGTTAACTATTATTCAATAAAACTGAGTGTGTCTTTGGAAAGTAGCGAGGCTATTATAAATTACAATTCTTTTCCCCTAAAGTTTCATCTTTTCACAGTGCCCTGTTATGTTAGGTAGTACATTTACTTCCATAGTTGCAAATAAAACATTTAAAAGATACAGCTACAATTAAGGAAAAGATGTTTAATTCAAGAATTGTTTTGTTGCAAGAATCAGAAAACAGTGTATAAAAGGGATGTTAAAAAAATCAGAACTCTAGAATTTAATTGCAGAAAGTATAACCAGACATTGTACATCTAAAAGATCACCAGCAGTTCGTCTCTTTTCTCTGTCTTTAGCTGTCTCTTTTTTTTCTCTGTCTCCTTCTGCCTGTCCTCTGCCCTCCTTGCTATCTGCTCTCTCCCCATGTCTTTCTTTCTAATATTCCTCTTACTCGTTTTTTTTTTTTCTCTTACACAGAATGATCTCTGCATCTGCTTTACTCTCTCAACAGGTGGCTATGGAGGCCTCTACCTCAGCTTCCCCATACAGATCATGTTCACCTGTCCCTATAGTCCTGACTTGTTCATGCCTTTGAACTGCTGAGGTGCAAACTCAGATCCAGCTCCAGAACCTCATAACTCCACCAATCATTGCTTACCAGTCCTCATAGCTCTTCATTCAAGTACTTCGGGGGCTCAATAGGGTATCTTACCAGTTACTGCCAAGATGTTGGGCAGGGCCTCTCCATAGATGTGTGTATTGTACACACACATTATACAAAAGTTTGTGGAAGTCTTGGAAACAGACACCTGTAAAACTTGGGGGGCATTGGCATCATACCCAAGAAGTATGTGTGCACTAAATCAACTCTATAAGTATCTATCCGCTGTATTATTTGCAAAACAAAGTCATCTGTCAAGATAGTCTTGCCTAACATGATTCAGTGTTGTAAGTACAGCTATAAATGTATGCTCCTCATGAGGGTCCTTGTAGTTACCACCCTGCCAGAATGGTCTGGGCTTATTAGCACATTTTATACCAGCATACCAATAATACAATAGGAAAACTATAATGAAATAACTAGAAAAGGAGGTTGACTTGGGCAAAACCAGAAAACTGGGTCATATCCTGGTCACTACTAAAATGTCCTTGCCACAGGTCCAGTCTAGGGAGGTGTTTTGCTAGAACTGGAAATTGTATGTTAGGTATCAACACGTTTATCCTATGGGAAAGGGTTGGGCTTTCCAAACTCATGGCTGCTGCTAGATGTCTCTTTTAATTTGCTAGGCTACCAGGCCCTTGATGAATATCTGGACTTGATCTTCAACAGTTCCAGCCGAAAGATTTCTCTTTATGAAATAGTTCCATAATGTACTGTTTTTCTCTGCTTTTAACTAGTAAACCCACAGAATTTTAAGTTTGTCCACAGAAAGTTAACTCCCTTTCTAACTAGGTCTGTTCGCAGTTCAGACTTACTCAAACTGGGTTCCCTGGTGCATCCAACTCTAACCTAGTTTATTGGCTCTAGTGTCCTATGTTTGTTTCTTATGATTTTAAATCTGAAAAAAAAGAAAATATATATATATATAGTCTAAACTTGGATCACTTGGCCACCCTAGGATTGAGTGGTAGGATCTCCCAAAACACTCTCATCATTTGGGGAAAAAGAGGGACGCTTCTAACAAAGGAAGCATAGACTGGGAATTGCAGCCTCATGCTCCAGACTGATGAACAGTTGACCTTTAAAACATGTTTAGTTCTCTAAGAACTTTTTCCTGTGATTTTGACTAAAAACATTTTGTGATCCTTTAACCCTAGAGATAGCTGGATCCATTAGACAAAATTTTAGTTACGGGTTTCTTTTTGACCAGCTCTAACTGTAAAGATTGACTTTTAGTCTTAGATATCTCCAAAGGATAAAGAGAAAGTTTACTTTTTAAAAGTAGGATAAAATTTATACCTTTCTATCCCCAAGTGGGTCCATTTGGACCCTTATAAAGTTACATTGTGGGATCTCAGTAATTTACTCATTATATTTCCAACTATGCTTTTAAAAGTTTTAAAAATGGTACAATGATGGAATTCCTAAAGAGAATTTAATAGTACAATCAAAGATGGTTATTACACCATCTCAGTATATCATCTTCCCAGAAGGTATAAAAGTTTAGAGAGATACCTTCTTTAGAATCTTTTTTGACCTCTCAATAAATACAGCTGAGAATTTATTTTTCATTTTGATTATAATGGCGAGTAGAAAATTAACAAAATGTTAACAACAGTTATTATAGGAATCAGAAGATGAATGTAAAGAAATAAGGGCAAACTCTAGTTCTTAAAGATGTTGATGAAATTATCTGTCAGTAAAATCCCAGACCAAGAGTCTTCTGATGCATAGTCTAAATGACTTTTCTTAAATTCCAGGAAGAATTCATGAGTCATGAGTTCTAAATATATTGATTTCTATAGATATAGTTTACCTATCTTAAGTGATATTCTACATTTCAAATGTTATCAATAAACTAGTGTTTATTTGTTCACTTTCTACATGAAGTACACCTAAGTTATTTCTATCTTTAGTTTTTGAATAGGGGCCTGAAATGCGTGTGTGGTCTCTGGAGTGGGTAATTTTCCAATCACATAGCTTCCGATCTTGAAAAACAGGCTACCCCAGAGATTTACTAGAACATAATTTTTAAAAAGGGATTCAAATCAACAAGTTATATATTCAGGTAGAACCAGCTAAATCTGGTGTTAGCTAGAAAAATACAATAAGATATAAAATGTATAGTCACTATTGCTATAGAACTTCAGCCTTCGTGTGGCAGTCTATTAAGTAGCGGCTATTCACTAGCTTATTTTTTTCCTTGCTTTTGGAATCCTGATCTCATTTTTCTGTCTCAATAGAAAGACAAGCATTGATGAACTCTCTTGCCGGTCAACAAATTTGGGGAAAAAAATGACTACTGCTTGAAAAGTCAAGGCCTTTGACCTTCATTTGCTTTTATAAAGCAATCGCTGGGAAAAGGATGGGAAGGGCACTCTGTGACATTAGCTTATTGCCTAAGGCTATCAGCCCTCTACCTTAATGATAAAAAAAGGAATTTTGGGAAATTAATTTATTCATTCAATATATATTGTTCAAGCACTACATGGGCTGGGTATACACTGATACATAGATGGAATTTTTGCCCTAGAATCCTTAACCAGTGTATGAATGTATTGACAACAGCCTCAGTTGCTTCTCTACAAGAAGACTAGAGGGATCTGGAAAGAGGTATAACTAAAATGATCAAGAGAATCTGTAAGTTAACTAGAAAAGCTAGACATTATTAGTATTTGAGTATCCACTGTGCTGATTTTCTATCCAAATTATAGAAACTTCTCAACTGGCTTAAACAAAGAAAGGATTTATTATTACACAAAAGGGGAAGTGCAAGGTGTTTAACTCATTAGTTCAGTAACATCATCACGGAAGACCCAGGTTCTTCTTTCTATTCTGTCACTTCTAAACTGATTTCTTCAAGTGGCAAGACAGCTGCCACACTTGTAGTTATCACATCCAGCCAAAACAGTGTAGGACAGAAGAAAAAGCATTATTTTATTTCATGTCTTTTTTTTTTTTTCAATAAATGAGACAGGCTCATACATTAATCACACATTAACATTTTTTCCTCATACATTAATCTGCATGCAGCTCATCCTTATTCTGGAGGGGTAAGCAGCTGCATCAGTTCCTCATTTTTGTAATGTGATAACTGGGACATGTCAAAAGGTAAAGGATTTGCCCCAAGGTTTCATGGCCAAGTAGTTAAAGAATCAGGATTAAAACCAAATGATGGGCCCTCCCTGATTGTGCAAGGAGTTAAAGCACTGCACTAAGAAGCTTAAGCCACTTCCCCACAAGTTCGATCCAGCCTGCCCTGGAGGTGACCCCATGGCGTGGCAGACCTCTCCTGACCCGCCCGCTGCTCCCCTCAGCCGTGTACTTCGTCGATCTGCCTGTTCTGCTCCCCACTCTGTCTCTGGTGAAGCTCTCGCTGCCCCTGAGCCTCTGGCCTGTCCCCCAGTTCTGTA